TGGTGGCCTATGTTTTCAGGTCATAGTCAACCTGTATTCATATTAACCTAAAACGTAACCTGTATTAATTTCGTCCAAATCGGTCCACCCATTTTAGTTTGATGGAGCAACAAACATACACACACATATACAAACTTTCACAATTATAAAAATTGTAAAATGATTTCGAATATACAAGTTAAAATTTCGTTAGCATGAATTCCTGACCAATCCAAAAATGTAAGCTGTCAACAGCTGCCGCATGATGATGATATAAAATAGTAGGCTTAGTTACAGAATCTGGCCCTAGACTAAAACTAGATAATTACTTTTTAATCAAAAATGTACACTGAATTCAGAATTATCTATAAACTGATTATTATATCTAAAGGGGTAGGTATTTTTTTCTTTACATTTATTTGGGACTACCCCTGCTACGGAAAGAAATTTGAATGTCTGTTCATAATTGTCGAAATTTCACGGTAATATATCGGATAAACACAACAAAAAAAACAAACACTTACCAGCACTAATTGAGTAATATCCTCTTCCTCCTCTTGTTTTGAAGACGGTCAAACGTACATAAAATCCGCTTATCGCTCCGCTTATCACGATGGGCAATATGCTAGCATGACAATGATGCCGATCGCGGTGGATCGAAAATGTCACAAACAGTTTCTATAGCGGGATTTTTCTAGATTTTTCACTAAATTTTGCAAAGCTCGTATTTTAAGGCTCTTTGTCCCATTTTACACGTGGACGATCTCAATAAATTCAAAAGTTTTCGCTTAGTCTTCATATTATTGATAAAGTTTTAGTACACTTTGTTATACGCTTATTGTAGCATGTGTTTAATATAACATACGTATTCTAACAAACATATTTTTTATATGGTTATGGCATATTTAATATGGTTCAATTTCTTTTTCTGTCTACCATTTTTATAATCGCAGATAACTGCAATCTGGTTAAAAATACTAAAAAAACCTCGCTAGCAAGAAAATATTTACTTACTAAATAATTTTAAATGAATAATTTATATTTATTTATATACAATAATTCTGTTATTATAAATTGATATAAATGCGCAACTAATATTCATACTAGTATTTTAAATGTGACAAAAACTTTGTCTGTTTGTTACCTTTTCTTACTAAAGCGCTGAGCAGATTTCGATGAAATGTAGGTTTACTAGATTTGCTTACATAACAAACATCATCGGTTTTTATGTTTCTACGCGAAATTGACAAAGTAATCTGTGCCCAAATGGCACGAGTAAAAGCAATAACAAAGAAATGAATTGAATTGAAGATCCCTGGGTTTAACATTATAATTAGCTTATATATAATACTTTCTTAGATTTACGCGAATATTTGACATTTTAAATAAAACTATCTTTTCATAATTTTTTCGCGGATTTATTTGGATTTTTGGTTCTCGACGTTTCGAATGCTTTACAGAATTCATGGTCACGGGAGAGACCTTTTAAAAAGATTTTATTTAAAAAGCTTATATATACATAAGAACATTATATATACAAACATACTATAAGTAAACAGATATAAGACGCCAATAGCAACTAAATCAAGATTAAACAGCCAATCAGTCGCATCCTGTGACAACCTCAAATGGAATTTAATAATAATGGAATCTGCGTATATTAGTTTAGGGAATAAGCACTTTGTTATTCCCTATATTCATAAAGTACATATGGATATATTACATATTTATGTTGGTTAGGCGTATGACGTATAAATGTTTTTAGGGTTTAAGGCATTTAAATTATTTTATGCCTTTAATTTTCTGTAAAAAGCAGTCAATATTAATCTAGGGTGCACCTTTTGCTTATGCTTAGTGTCTAAACTCATAAAATGTATATTAAAATTATTGGTTGACACACTTGTTATTACTGAATATCGTGATTGTTAGGTACGTTACGTTTTTTTAAGTATGGCATTCAAATTATTTATATTATTACTAGCAACTTATCCTCGCTTCACTCGGGCGCGTCCCTAAGCTAATGGTTTAGAAAACCAAAAAAGAAAAATATTTTTTACAGTGATATTACAGAATAACTCACCAGAGTTTCATCACATTCGAATCAATGGCTTACATAGAGGACAAACATACGAATATTCTTTTTTCTTTATATGTAAGATTAATATAAATTATCTTCCGTTGTCCCGATTAAGTGTATAAAAAGCGTTTGAATCTATCTTCTCAAATCTCAATCCTAGAGACTAGGTACCTACTATTACGTTTAGACTTTTTTTATAATTATAAATATATTATTTTCAGCGATGTTGGTTGACATCGCGGTGTTTTAAAAACAGCTTAAAAAATTATATTCAATAACTTTTATGTGCCAGTTGAATTTTAAGTGTAGCGAAGCGCAAATACAGCAAGTAAAGACTTTGGCACCGCGCAACGTGGCTTGGCAGAGTTACACGGTTTCTAGACTAGATTTAGTCACTGAGAAAATATTTCTAAAGTTTTCAGAACAGATTATATTCGGTTCAGAAGTTAGAAAACTGAAATAGACTATAACTTTGATTATTACTGTCTTAACGTACATTGTGACGTTTGTATTGGTTTTATGGAGCAAAAAATGTGACGATACAACGGCGTACGACATGTAACTCAGCATTAGATACTCCCTAGCTTTTTTTTTCTTTAAACCGTATGTTCTGCAGCCAATTTGCACACGCATATTTTCAATTAGTTTTCACCTCAATTTGCCTTTTATACGAAGCCACCTACTGTGTGATTATAAGCATCAATAAATTGAAAAATAAATCACTGTAAGATAGTTCCATTATACTATTTTTATTACCTTTATGACGTGAGCCTCAGATAAAAAGATAAAAATCAAGGTGTTTTTTTTAATCAGCAACCACTATGGAAGACAGGACCTTCAGGACGAGGAGTTTAAATTACTAAAAGTTATTGTGTTTTTGGGTGAATGATATCTTTAAAAAGAGGGTTACGTGTATGTATGTAGGCTCGATCTTATGTTCCCTCGTAACCACTTAACAGCTTAACCAATTTTGATGTTTCAAATAACATGAGATTCGTCTTGATAACGCAAATGTCACTGAGTATATGAATATTATTAAAAATCAAAATGGTGGATTCCAGGTACCAATTTGTATGTTGAAGAATTTTTTTTCTCTTGGCTTCACACCCGGCTACATTGCCAGACGCTAATGAGCCTCCTCCCATGACAAAGTGAACACACATCGGGAGGGATTATCTGTCTAAGTAACTTGCACAAACTGTCGTTCGTTCACCAAAATAATAATAATATAACAATACCTAAATCCGTCCTTAAATTTCTAAATAAATGCTTTAGTTTTTTGAAACTCAAAAACAAACACATTATTCCAGAAATTTATATTAAATATACATAATCATCTAGGCTAGCATAGTAAAAGAACTTTTTGGTTACAGAAATTTTTTTTTCAAAAATAATAAAAATCTAAATGTCACATTATTTTCTTTGTGCAATCCGAAACCTAAATAAGACTAAGAAGTCAATGAACCAATTACAGGTTATTCTCAAAAATGGTTAGCATTATAGACAGACACGTAATAAGATAATGATTACAATTATTTACAACTCATACTCTTTATAAATTTAAGTAGATATAGTTAGTTTAGTTAGTTACATCATATTTTATTTAAATTTTATCCGTTTACCAAATTAAATTCTGTAGAGGCCTACGACATGAAAATCGGTGAGCTGATTTCGAACTTTGTAAAATTTAATTGATAATATTATACCCTCGCTACGCTCGGGTTCTTCCCTAGCATGGACCACCCTTGTCACTTAGGAGTATAAAAAATAGTTTACGTCCTATTCTCAAATCTACTGAATATACACACAAAATTTCATAAGAATCGGTCTAGCCGTTTCGGAGGAGTTTTTTTACAAACACTGTGACACGAGAATTTTATATATTAGATTAAGTATTATAAAGATTTCTGAATATTATACAGTCATGTACAGGGTGTTAACCAATACACTTCATCGTCAGTTAATATATTGAGAATGATAATTATTGTAATGTATTATATTGTAAGTTTTTTTTAAATTTAATATTGAATTACCAAACAAAAATTTTCCCTTTAGGAACTACTTTGGTGGGAATATGTCGTCATAGCACTTAGTATGTTTATCGTATGCATCTTTCTGAACTATTTAGTGAAAGTAATCAATGGTAACTGTGTGTCTTATTTATTTTTTTACCAAGTTTATTTATATGTATTTACTTATTAAATATTTATAATGTATTTTGTAGAAGCGCGAATAGAACATAGATTCCAACAAAAATCTTCAACAAATCAGTCCATACAAACGAAGGAACCATTTGTACTTAATGATGTCTCAAATACACGGGGAATATCATTTGTTTATAACAAAGAAGAAAATCTTAAAAGTAAAAAATTAGAGGAAAGTTCAAGTAAAGACTTGTTTAAGCAAAATGTAAAAACTACTGTTTTCAGTGCTCTCTATAATGAAAAAAATATTCAGATTAGTTAAAATGTTCAGAATAGTAGAACTCAAGGATCGATAGAAAACAAATAAGAAGATTGGATTCAAGGTTTAATATTCAATAACTTTGTAAACAGTTACAATCTAAGTATAAATACATAACGTAATTTTATTTATAATATTTCATTTGTTTTATTCATTAACTGTAGACTTATTTTCTATTAACCTTTGAGGTGAATAAAGTTAATATTTGTAATTTTATTACAAAGTAGGCAGTATGATATTTGACTTATGCCTATGTTATTGGAATGAACTGTCAATTCTGTCAAACCTAATGTCATCTAAAATCTAAATGTCAAATTGTTAAAAGCCGCGTCGTGCATGTTTATTATTTAAATTCTATAATGTATATTGTATAAAATATTATTATTAATTTTGGGTATTTTATATTAGGCATCTTAACATATTATAGTGATATCATATGCAGGAAGGGTAGTTTTGTATGATATTATAAGAAATATCAAAAATGACTTCTATTATAAAATTACATATCCTTTCTGGCGCTGGAGATGAATCTCCGCCGTGCTATGTGTTGCAAGTGGATGAATTTAAGTTCCTTTTAGATTGTGGATGGGACGAAAAGTTCGATATGGACTTTATAAAGGAATTGAAAAGGTATTAGGTTATGTTGTCAGGTAGAAAATTAATTCAAGCTTAAATTTCTAACTCAACATATTCATGAAACTTAGCAACTTTTATCAAAAGTAATGTAAAATAGAAAATTTTGCTTTCAGACATGTAAATACTATAGATGCAGTACTTCTATCACATTCAGATCCATTACACCTCGGTGCATTACCCTATGCTGTTGGACAGCTTGGACTTAATTGCCCGATATATGCGACTTTACCAGTCTACAAAATGGGGCAAATGTTCATGTATGATCTATATCAGTCTTATAAGAATGTGTCGGAATTTGATTTATTTACATTGGATGATGTAGATGCGGCATTTGATAGAATTACTCAGTTAAAATATAATCAAAGTATTGACATGAAAGGTTAGTATTAATAGTTTGAGGCATCACTGTAGATATATTTATTAAAACTTATTAAAAAATTCTATACAACTTAGTGATAATAATAAATTAAAGTACCAAATCTACACTCTATTCAATAAAAGCTTATAAAAATTCAATCTCCCTATCACAGGAAAAAAATAGAAAGTACCAAAATAGTCAATTTTACTAAATCATAATACCAAACGAAGAAAGTTCCATTAAAATCGGTTTCGTAATTCTGCAGAATATAAACAATCACATAAACAATTCAAATAGAAATGCAGTCAAACCTTTTTTCAACTATTTTCAGGTAAAGGATTAGGACTTCGGATAACACCTTTACCTGCTGGTCATTTACTTGGAGGCACAGTATGGCGTATCGCTGCCCCTGGTGAAGAAGACATTGTATATGCACCAGACTTCAATCATAAAAAAGAAAGACATCTTAACGGGTGTGAAATAGATAGAATTATGCGTCCATCATTATTACTACTCGGGGCTATGAATGCTGATTATGTACAACAAAGGAGACGACTGAGAGATGAAAAGCTAATGAGTTAGTTAATCATTAAATTTATATCAGTTCTAACAGGCAAAAGTGTAAAAACTTGTTTTAAAAATTGCAAATTTGTAAATGTACTCAGTTTTTATTATGTATACTTTGTATATCCTACATTTTACTTCAGACACAGAAAGAGCTAACAAATAATTATATTTAGATCTATTTACAGCCCACTTGTTTTTTTTAATACTTAACCGTACTTAACGTATGGTAAGATGTGTAAGAAATAAATTTCTTTAAACTGAAATACAATATATGCAAACTCTTCCACAGCAACTATACTGGGTACTCTTCGCGGTGGTGGGTCAGTACTGGTGTGCACAGACACAGCGGGCCGAGTGTTAGAGCTAGCCCACATGTTAGATCAGCTGTGGAGGAATAAGGACTCCGGACTGGTTGCATACTCCTTATTATTGTTGTCCAATGTCAGCTATAATGTCGTTGAATTTGCCAAGTCACAGGTAATTTAATTTTCATTTATATTTATTATTCAAATTCTGTCCAGTGGTTTTTTCGAGATGCGTTCCCATACAGACAGACAGAAAGACAAAAATTCTAGAAACTATAGATTCTGCCTCTTTCTTTATTTTAATAAGATTTTCCAAAAAATATTTAATGTACAGATTAGACTCAGAATTTTATTATATGTATATATAATAAAATTACCTACATAGATAAATTACATACATAGATGTACCTTTCTTATTACATTTATAACCAATAAGCATAGTATAATATTGTACAATTGTTCGTTTCTTTTTCGCTTTCTTCTTTATTTAATTATTAAGAATAACATGTATGACTCACACAAACATTCGTGCTACACATATAGACTTAAACAAAGATGTTTCTTGATTCAAGCGTGTTTGTGTATGTATATGCTTGTGATATTATAAACTTATTTTTTTTTAATAATTAAGCCTTAAACATAGTCTCTTTTAAATAACAGAAACCTAACTTTAAAGTTATTTTTCATTGGTGTAAATATTTACTTAAACAGTCAATAATAATGTTTTTTTTTTGTTTGGTATTAACAGATAGAATGGATGAGTGACAAATTAACCCGTGCGTTCGAAGGCGCCCGAAGTAACCCATTCGCGCTACGACACTTACAGCTATGTCATTCGGTGATCGAGGTCACAAGGACCCCCGGACCTAAAGTGGTGCTAGCCTCCTTCCCAGACTTAGAAACGGGTTTTGCGAGAGACCTATTTCTTCTATGGGCTTCTAACTCACAGAATTCCATAGTTTTAACTGCGAGGTAAATTGTTAAATTTGTAAATATATACTATGTAGTTAGTACTTTTAACGTCCCATTGCTGGGCACGGACCTCCCTTCATTATGAGGGTGATCAGGCCATAGTCCACCACGCTGGCCGAGTGCGAGTGGACTGAGCATGTCTTTCGAAAACTTGCTAGGTTCTCTCAGACATGCAAGTTTCCTCACGATGTTTTCCTTCACTATAAGATGTAAGACAAGTGGTAATCATGTTGGAAATGATTCGCACATGAAAATATCAGAGGTTCATGACTCCAGATTTGAACACACTTCACTCTGTTACTATCTAAAATAAGATTATAATATTATTATATTTTTTTACTCGTAAGACCTAATTCTTGTAGGTTAATCTGTTAAATAATTAAAGCTATACCAATAAAAAATTTCACCTAAGAGGTCACAGGTTCAATTCCGACAAACTGCAAAATGTGGAATAATATTTTTTACAGGACATCCCCCGGTACTTTAGCAAGAGACCTAATAGAGAAGGGTGGGGACCGAACGATAGAGCTAACTGTACGGAAACGTGTACGACTCGAAGGCGCTGAGTTAGAAGAGTTCATGCAACAGCAACGGATAAAAGTCAACAACTCTATCAAGTGAGTCTTAAAATTGTTCTTTTAAATAAAAAAATACAAAAGTATTTATTATCTTACAAGCGATTTTTTGGGCGGAACCGTAATTGTTTCTGTAAAATAAAAGTAGCTTAAGTTACTCCTTATAATATCAGCTATTTGCCAGTGAAAGTCCCGTTAAAATCGATCCAGCTGTTTCGAAAATTCGAAACAAATATTCAGACAAAAAGTTTTTTTCATAAGTACCATACTTAATTTTTTATGCTTTTAGGAAGAAGCAGTTATTTTGACATTACAAACAGACAATACAATTTTATTTGTTTGTGTATATTAAGAATTGCTTGTACGTGTTTGATACTTGCTGTATATGAGTAATGTAATGCATAATACTTCCTTAGATTTACGCGAATATTTGACATTTTAAAGATTACATTATAATATAGTGCAAGAAAGAAATAAACAACTTTTTAATCGAATTTAAGTCGATTTCAGTGTAATTATTGAGTTTGTGATTTCTTCTTTAAAATATGGCAACATTTTTGAGGTATAATCTATTCATTAAAAAAGAAAACACCTGGAATACAAATTAATATTTATTAAATAAAACTCAAATTATCAGACCTCGACCAAAAAACCACAGATAAAAAATAACATCTAAATGCGTATAAAACGCTTTATCATAAAATTCGGATATATCACAAATATTATTCCCGCCCAGAGAAGAGGCAGGTGGACTATCATCAGACTCGGAGTCGGACGGTGAGCTGGAGATGTGGGTGGTGACGGGCCGCCACGACATCCCGGTGCGCAGCGACGCGCGCCCCGCCGGCTGCTTCAAGACCAACAAGCGCCACCACGCCATGTACCCCTGCCACGAGGAGCGCGCGCGCGCAGACGACTACGGGGAGGTCATACGGGTGAGCTACTGTGCTATATATGTATTCAGTCCTTGTCAACGTCCCACTGCTGGGCACACCTCCCTTCAGTACGATGATTTTTTTATTTGTTCTTTTCATTTTCAAATTAATTAACAGGGAGGTGCCTTTTTCGACAAAAGATCCCGGGCTGGTTAATGATTGTATAGATCAAAAAAGTACTATATATTATATATATTAGCGATAAAAAATGTCCTCACAGAATGAGTGCCCATTTGAACATTTGAGCGCGTTTTTGATTATATATTTTTTTTATGAAAATAACTTTAAACATTGCATTTAAGGTTCAATTTACATTGTTGTATATATGTATATTTAAACTAGAATAATTACCTAAACACAATAATTAGTGACAGTTTTAAGAGCGCTTTTGCATGGGATTATGTGTCTAGCACTTTTTTGATCGATTGTCAAAAGTCAACCAAACGATCGAAGCGTAATTAAAATATTCACTTGACAGCCAGAAGACTACCGGCTGGCGGAGATAGTGGACGCGGAGGGCGAGATACGGGACGTGCCGCCCGCGCCGCCGCAGAAGCCCGAGCCTGAAGGTAGTACGTTCATCTTCTTCTCATATATAAAATTCTCGTGTCACAGTGTTTGTAACAAAACTCCTCCGAAACGGCTTGACCGATTCTTATGAAATGTTGCGTGTATATTCAGTAAGTTTTAGAATAGAACGTTAACTATTTTTCATACCCCTTAGGGCCTAAGTGATAAGGGTGGTCCACCCCAAAAAAAATTGTTAAATTTTCGACAAATTTTTTCTTTTTTTTTATGACTCGACATAAAATAATAATACATATAAACCTAAATTTTCACTAGGGACCAACCCGAGCGGAGCGAAGGTGAGTCGCTAGTATATTTATAATTTACTAGCGGCTTACTCTCGCTTCGCTCGGGTTCGCCTCTAAAAAAACAAGAACAAGCCTATCCCACGGGAACCATACATTTTATAATCTATCTCTGTGCCAAATTTTATTCAGATCCGTTCAGTCGTTCTGGCGTGAAAGAGTAACAAACATCCATACATACTCACAGTCATAGGCTGAAATATACATATAATAAAACAGTAACTTAGCAAAATCTGTGCATTAAATATTTTTTTTAAACAATTGAGACCAGGCGCGGATCTAGTTTTCCGTTGGGGGGGGGGGTCAAGAAAATCAAGACCTTAAGTTTTATGGCTTTAAAACTTTAGTAGGTATATAAGGAACAAAAAACCTTGAAAAATATTTATTTTTTTCATTTCTGGCTTGCTGAGATATCTTATCGAAAAATATACTTTATACAAATTTCATCAAAATCTGTCCAGTGGTTTTCTCGTGATGCGGTTACAGATAGACAAAAATTCTAAAAACTATAGATTCGGACTCTGTATCGATAATAATGTCTATTTCAATTAGATTTTCCAAAAAATTTTTAATGAACAGATTCGACTTAGTTACAATTTTATTATATGTATATAGATTTCTGCAAAAACTTTTTGATATTCATGAAACTAGGGGAATATAATCTTCAAAAGACATAATAACCATTTATTTTTAAATTGAAATGTTTATCCGTTTATTCCTTCCTTTCTTAGACTTCAAACTTCTCTAAAAAGTATATTTGGGTTTGGGGGGGTCATGACCCCCATGACCCCCCCCCCCCCTTGAATCCGCGCTTGACTATAATATCTCCTGCGCAGATGCCTAGTCTTAATGAGATTGGCCGCCGTGGCTGTAATCGATAGGTAGGGCATTATTATCCAAACATCTTACATATATATTACATAAATTAAAAGAACAAATAACAAGCAAAGCAAAAACACTTCTATTACAGAAGAGATAACAGAGATCCCAAGCAAATGTATAACATCAGTACGCCAAGTGCAGATACGTGCTAACATACAGTACATAGAGTTGGAGGGGCGCTGCGACGGCGAATCCTTGCTGCGAGTGGTGGCGCACGCCAAGCCCAGGGCCATCGTAGGCCTTCGGGCCGGCACCGGAGCCCTGAATACTTTGAGGTAAGGAAATAGGTAGCTTATGGTTCGTATATACGGCTATACTATAACCTAACTTATAATTTGGTCATAGTTGGTAAATTCTATTTCATACTTAGGCATTACTTTTCCAAAAAATTAAAATTTTCGAGAAACAACGCTGTCAGTATATAATATTATTTAAATGGCAAATATTGTTGTGAATACGCAACGAGAGTCCAAAAGACAGGGTCAAATACATATCTATACATATAAATAAAATTGAAGTGTATGTCTATGATTTTGACATAACTACGAGTATGTACATAGTTATTTATGTGATACAGGTACCTAAACAAGGCTTTTTAAATATTTTGTCTGTCTGTCTTTCTAGTTGATCCGGAGTAATCTTTGGAACGGCTTAACCGATTGTAATGGGATTTTCACTTAAAGGTAGAGAAGATTGTAGGGTTACATATAGGATATGTTTTATTCCGAAAATGATTTGGGTTCCAACGCTAAAATCAAAAACTCTTAAAAATAACGCAAAATATACTAAAAATTTAATAAACATATTATATGCTAATTTCCTTACGTTGGTATCGATATAAAGGCGTGGTTGGCGCTTTAAAAAGTTATAGTGTGCATATATCCTTAATAGAAGCATGGACAAACGTGCTATCACGTGTGTAACCAACCGTTTTAATAATTATAATATTACTCGTTTTCAGCAAACATTGTGAAAGCGAAGGCATAGAAAAAATATTCATGCCGAAACGAGGCGACACGGTGGACGCCACCACGGAGTCGCATATATACCAGGTTAATATATGTATTCCGACATTTTTAACGTCCCACAGTACTGCTGGGCACGGGCCTTCCTTCAGTACGAAGGGATCAGGGGTTACCACGCTGACCAAGTGCGGGACTGCACATGTCTTTTGAAAACTTGCTAGGTTCTCTCAGACATGCAGGTTTCCTCACGATGTTTTCCCTCACCGTAAGACAATCATGAGTTGATCATGTTGGAAATGATTCGCACATGAAAATCTGATATTTTGCGCGAGACCCGGGATTGAATCCGCTTCACTCGGGTTATTTATTATTATTACTAGCGCGACTCACCCTCGCTTCGCTTGGGTTCGTCCCTAGGTACATAATTTTTTTTTTGATCGGACCCTAATTCTTGTACTGAAATAAAAGTAGCCTAAGTTACTCCTTATAACTGTATGTGCGTGTGTGTGTGCAGGTGAAGCTGACGGACGGGCTGGTGTCGGGGCTGGCGTGGCGCGCGGCCGGCGACGCCGAGCTGGCGTGGCTCAGCGCGCTGGTCACGGCGCCGCGCGCGCGCGAGCCCGCGCAGGAACATGGTCCGTCATGTTTTATATTACAACTACTTATTTATTTATTTCATAAGCACACTTACAATATACATATTTACAACATTAACACACTAAATTATAAGAAAAGTAACACACTGATATCTATATCAACAACAAGTGTACATAACATTCACCAACAAATACATGTAAAACATTGAGAGGGAAAAAAGGGAAAAAAATTTTTTTTTACTAACTAGTGTAATGTGTGAAAAAAGTGAGACAACTCTTTAGCTCTTTACAGCAATCATGGTCACGAGAGAGACCGAGGTGTTAGATGTCTCAAAAGTATTATATAGTTGTTACAGATAACCTACTCACAAAATAAACGTCGAAACACGAAAGGAAACGTCGAGAACCAAAAATCAAAATAAATCCGCGAATAAACCCGAAAAGATAGTTTTATTTAAAATGTGAAATATTCGCGTAAATCTAAGAAAGTATTATGTGATTAGACTAATTCTAACGTCGTCCGCAACAGAGGAGACGGCGGACGAGGAGATGATGTCGCTGGAGGCGCCGGCGGGGGCGGAGACGGGCGCGGGGGCGGCGCCGCACGCCGCGTCGTTCGTGAACGCGGTGCGGCTGTCGGAGCTGCGCGCGGCGCTGGCGCGCGCCGGCCTCGCCGCCGAGTTCGTGGGCGGCGCGCTCGAGTGCGCCGACGGCACCGTCGCCGTGCGCCGGGTGAGTGCTGGGCTGGTTTGTTTGGTGTCCTTTGTGGTCTGGTGTTGGATTTGAGTGCTTACTTTCTTTTTAATAAAAATATATTTCTAAGCAAAACATATTAACATGTTCAACAGTGTCTTGTCTATGACAATGTGTAGAATAAAAAAAGTATGAGTGTTATGCGTGATAAGCACTATAGTGATTATGGGCTCATAAATTACGTCACATGACCTTGTTGATATTTTAATTGTATTGACATGATATGTATTAAAATTTACTACTTTACTAATATTTATATTTTGATTTGTTTTAAAAGAGCTACTGTTAGGTCTCTTATCGGTTCCTCAGTAGAACTGTCTTTTGAACCGGTGATTCTCATGAACTGACTACACTGACTCTTAATGAGTTGGCAATAAAAGTACTTCTAAAAACGTTATAGCATTTGTTTTTCTAATTAAATTGAAAAAAATATCATAGACAAATAATAATATTATTATATCAATTCTCACGCCAATAGCGTGCTGTTTTCCAAGTTTTATTTTTTACATATAACTATGTTATCTTTTTGCAGTTGGACAATGGACGCGTCGCTTTAGAGGGAGTGTATTCCGAAGAGTATTTCAAAGTGAGAGAGCTGCTGTACGATCAATTCGCTATTGTATAATGAGTCTGATTTAAATATAACGAATCATTCAAGAATTATTTGTAATTGTTTTAATTTTATTTATTCTGATTATTATTCTTATCTAAAATGGTATATCGACTCAAAAGAAATTTAGAAGTGATGAAATTATTGATTTCCCTTACAAACTTAAGGGATAATTTCCGGGATAAAAAGTAACCTTTGTCCTTTCCAGGGTCTCAAACTATCTCCATACCATAATCAATTTATTTATTTCAGAGGATTAAGCGTGACAGACAGAGTTACTTTCACGTTTATAATATTAGTATGAATTAGTTCACCCACAGGGGTCGACTTCCAAAATCTCCATTGAGGTTTTTTCTATTTGTTTCATTAAAAATATAATCATGACTGTCCAGTGGCAGGTGACCAAGATATTTTGTAATATGTAAATAACGTACATAGACCCATATTAATTACGTTTGAAGTTAATTTGAAGTAACCCAAATAAAACAATAACATATATTTTATAATTTATTTCACATTATCTCCGAGACCGGTCATATAATAACGTTGTAAACAAATAAAACATACATCCCATTCATTACAAATAAAGAGACAGCTGTAGATGTCTACAAACTGCTATTACTATCAAAACGCCATTTTGTTGACATGTAAACAAAATGGCGACTGCAATACATAATATAAAAAAATCATATACACAACCATTTTAACCATTAAAACGTCGCATCTAATGCAAAATAAGCTATAACCTAACTATTTTGATAGTAACAGCATTGAAAAATAAGAGAAATAGTGACTTAAATACTAATGTGGCACATCTCACGTTTGTACAACTATCACACCGTCGCTGCATCAGCGGTTACAACTAAACAACTAGAATATTCTTAACATAAGAATAACTACAACAGGACGCATTGAATAGTTCACTGGATATAAAAACCATTGCCCGTCTTCAACGAGGATAAACGTTTAAGGCCCGATCCACACTATAGTGCCCATCCCGGTTCGCTCTCGGTCCGATTTTTGTTTGGCAAAGTATTGTTATACAAGAAACAATGAGTGCATTCACACTATCAGTAAGAGTCACGTTCCAGTTGAATCACACTCCAGCAACGTTTCTTGTATAAAAAAACCTTTACCAGACCGATATCGGACCGAGAACGGACTGTGATCGGCACTAGTGTGGTTCGACCCTAAGTGTTTCACGGTACATATTTTACTTTCGCGGGAAGAGCTTAGGCCCTTATGATAATGTACGTGAGACACTTGCCAGTTGTATAATCTGTCGGAATGATTTATACGTATTTTTTTTTCTTTAAAAACAAAAATAGTGAAATAAGCTATTTTTCTCTTTTATGCTTTTGTAGAACAAATTTCACGTTTTCGTGAAGTTCGAGTGAATTGCATACAGTGTCTTATTATTAATTTTAAATCTACACAAAGCGGTAATTTCGACAAATTATACAACTGATATAAATATTTTACAACAATCAGTAAAATCTGTGAATTATATAATTGACAATACATTCTAAAACAAATCTTTTAATGCTTATAAATTTACACAATATTTTTTTCATCTTCACTTTTCTATAGGAAATAACACTTTTATTTTATAAATTAAAATGCCTTTTCCCTATTTTTTCTCTTATAAAAACCTGCACAATATTTTGTTACGCGCGCCTAGTTTAGTCGAAGACATAGAGCATCTTCGTACAACCTCTGCGGTGCTCGTTTACGCAGGTGCCAGGCAGGCATGAAAAGTATGACGACGAATATATTTAATTACTGATATTATATAACGATTCAGGGCCACTCCACACTATAGTGTCGATCACAGTCCGTTCTTGGTCTGATAAAGTATTTCTATACAAAGAACGTTGCTGGAACGTGATTCGACCGAAACGTGAGTCGTACTGATGGTGTGAATGTCCTCGTTGTTTCTTGTATTATACCAGACTGATATCGGACCGACAACGGACTGTGATCGACACTATAGTGTGGTGCGGCCCTAATACAGGAAAAGTGTTTCATTGTTTTACAATTTATTGTTGCTAGTGATATCTAAAACTACAGCTATATGAGAGACCAAAATGGATAAGGTTGATAATTAAATAAAGCTTCAACAATCACTTTTAAAAACAAAAACCAGATCGTTCATAGGTATTTACCGATCGCAATAAATTCTACTTATTGTATAATTTTACAAACGACTGAATGGTAACAGGATGAGGTATTCAACATCAATAATACTGTTCCACTTGCATTCTCTTATATAACATTTTTATATATATGTATATATGTACATACTTATGTACTATTTCTTTAGTCCGTCCTTCAATGCTGTTCTAAATTTGACAAAACTTTCATTTTCATATCTGTTGCATAATTTCAAACGAAGTTAAATCCATCCAAAAAAATATAATTATTATATCTGTATGATGTCATTACATTAAAAAATGTCTGATGTAAATAAAATATACAGTTTTCGGATTTTCCCTTTACTTGTGCTATAAAACATTGCTTCTGGCCAAATTTCATGAGTCTAGGTCAACGGGAATAACCCTATAGGTTTTGACTCCCTTGCGAGCGTCATTTAACTTGAAACTGGGCACGTATTATTTACAATTTGTTTAAAATTAAGCAACACATATTCAATATGTTTCAGGACATAATATAATTTGTTAGAAGTAGACTATCACTGTAAATATATATTCTATTCTCCACCGCACAGATACAACATACGAAAATATACTCTAAATGGTGATATTATGAAAAATATATATAAGTGGAACAGCTATAAAAATACATTGTTTGATTCAGTATAAGATATATGTATGTATGTTTTATATTTCATTTGTACACTGGTCATCCACCAAGAAATCATCGAGCTATATTCATTTTTAGGGTTCAACAGGGTCAACAAGGAGCCCTTATAGTTTCGCCATGTCCGTCCGTCTGTCCGCAACTTACTCAGACTCTTATTACTAAAAAGATGTGATTTGACATGGATATGCATATTAGTAACGCCGATAAATAGGTAAAATCTTGAATATTTTTCAATAGCTAAAATATGAATATAAAGTGAATTAAATCAGAAAAAATCGTAACTTCTGAGACCTTCCGTAATGTTATTAATGCGAAATCGAATGCGACCATTTAAAGACGCTATAACATGTCACTGGTATTTATATTATCTCTCCTTGAAGATATTTTATTCATACAAAAAAAGCACTTGGTTTTTTTTCTGAGTATCACTACACATCATTTGATATATAAAAACATAGATTCACATTTCCTAACAAATATCTCTTTAAAAAGTGTCGTCGACATGTATCGTTAAATCAAACCAAAGAAAAAATTCAAAAATCGAAATTCTAATTGCGATATCGAACTTAAGTACACCATAGAAAGACGAAAAGAGCGTTTTAATTTTGTTATGCAAAAAGCAAAGAACAAAAGAGATTTGAAAAAAGCGCACCATTACGATTTGTGCGCTTCTCTTTGAGGACACTTTCGTCTCAGGTAAGGGTGTATCTTGAGTTTTTGTATATCAAAGCTATGCACGTTTGTATATATTAGATTAGACTAATATATAATAAAATCATATTGTACGAATATATAACGTAAGTAATCGACCTATAGACATAGCTAAATAAATTCTTGGTGGATTTCTCTACAATATAGCCCTTATTCATAAACGTTGCTTAATTTAAAGATCAATTTGTCTTCCTCGACTCGTTTAAAACGTGAAAAATACCTTAAATTACGCAATGTATATGAACATATTAGTATATAACTAGGGACGTCGCCAATACATAACAGTGAATAAATTGTAAAACGTACTTTGTACGAAACTAACGTTAAAAACATATAGGATGCCGAAAACGGCGCATTACGCTTACAGTCGGGGAAACAATACCTTTATGTATATACAAAATTATTTAAAATTATTATTAACATAGTAATTAGATGCAATTATGCTAAAAGTTACCAACTCACGAATTTTTAATAAGTTATTGACACCGAACTGATTGGAACGTGATCCATTATTACTCAGCAAAAATAAATATGTTGGGACATTAACACACTTGTGTTATGGATACCAGATAGTTGATACACTACACATATATAACTTTAAATACAAACATATTATAAACATAAATATAAACACGGGCATAACTGGAGTACAAACATTCGTGTTTATCACACAAATTAATGCCTCCAGCGGGAGTCGAACTCGCCACCGATGGCACAACAAGTAGGATCACTACAAACTAAGCCAAACGTATCGTCAAATAATATCTGCCATAATGTAGGACATACATTTAACCATAATAACTCAAAACACATGTTATTAAAAAAACAAACATTATTAGAAAATCCTGAATGAATACAGAATCAGTACAAACTCACTTTTACATAAATTTATTTTAACTTTAAATATTATTTTCTAGAATTTCTTTTTGTGTAGTTGGTAGTTTTGACATAACTGGACCCAATTGTTATACAGCATTTACTTTTAGTATGAAAGGAGAATCAATTTCACTATATATATAGATACTATAAAGAAACTGTTCTAGTCCAGCCTAATAAGATCTCTGACAGATGGACAATAATGTACACCAATGATAACTTACGTAAATTTAATTTTGTAATTTATTATAATACATTATACACTATACATGTACATATATTAAAAATGGAAACAAAAAAAAATGGTATGCTATATTTAATCGATACTTTTCTTTTGTATTACAACCGACATATTTTTACAAATTACATACGTTATATTATTACACCGGATTCTTTCCTCGACCATATCATAATCTCGAAACGTCACAGTATCGTAAAAACTATATATATTTTTTAATATTATACAAAAATAGTAACAAATTTTGTACTACATTCGTCCATCGTTTTGTACATAATATACGGGGTACGTGTATCCACAAACAAACATCAGAATGGGGCGCACGACTCACGTGTACTGCTTTTAAAACATTAACAAAAATAGAAAGAAATGACGTCAGCATTCGCTATTGCTGTCTCTTTCTAAGATATCATTTGAACATTAAACATGCATCGTGCCATGATAACCGTTTTTACATTTTTCCTGCTTATAAAGCTTCGAGAAAACTACGCTTGAAGGAATTGCTGTATTTCATTGTCAATAGTGATGAAAAGTCACAAAAGATAAGTAGTTATTATCTTCATTGAAATACATATATGTGACGATATTTTATGTATATTTATATGGGGGTAACTACATATGTGTATGTACATTTCTTTTTTATATTAATACAATTTATAGTACAGATCTTACAGCAAAGCCAAAAATTAGATTTCTTTGAAATTAAAATGTGAAATAATCGTCACATAAAAATCGCATTTTTATAAAAAAAAGTACATTTTAAAATATCCTTTAAATTACACAAAATTTTTCGATACTAATAATATTAAAAAAGTGTCACATCATTATTGCAAAATATCAAAACGGCCATCACATTTATGAGACCATTTACGCCAATCTAGATAGTTAGCTATAGAATACCGAAGTGAAGTTCGTCCACGTCATGTACCCCATTACCAAGATCCACTTCACAGCCATCAAACAGACGAGTTCCGTCGAATCATAAATAATAATATGTACACTTGACGTGAGTACCGCTAAATGCAGCAAAAGTTCACAGTCGATTTGTTTATCGCACGACAAACCGCTGATATGTTATGATGAGATCGGTTGCGGTCCGTTAATTTAAAATAAAAATTCAGTGTTGCCATATTCGTAACGATTTCTACTAAATTAGTAGAAAATACTAAAAAACACATATAATTGAAAATTAATACATACGTATATTCTGCGTATATTGAAAATCTATTTTGAATAATAATTTTATCATCTGACAACCTATTTCTATACCAAAGGCTCCATTCCAATCACACGACCGCGACCAAAGCATGTACTGTACAAGTAACTGAGACAATCGTATTGTACGAAATCATTAGAGGCGGGTGCGAATCTACCAATTAATTTGTATTTACAATTGCTCATTAAAAACAAAATTAGACTCAACACTTGACAACTCCGCTATATAACAAATCTAACGTCGAAGTACAAACAAGCATTCCGAGTACTTCTCGCTTACATATTTTGTCAATAACCTCGAGACCTTTATATTTAGTTCTCATCACAAAACAAATTAAGACACACACTCGCGACTCCTATATGGCAAACCTAACATCAAAGTTTACACAAGCATTCTCATTCCGAGTCCTATATTTCATTATTTATAACATACGAGTTCTTACGAATGTTACCTATATCCCTCATAATGTCTACCTTAGTCTTGGAGGTGTATCGTTTCTACGTGTAGAACTTGGAGTCCTCGCGAGTCCTTTATCCGAGTCCCGGGCGAAGCCGCCGGAGGCCTATCGCAGGCAGGCCTCCAGCATCTCTACGAAGAGCTTGTTCATGTGCGCGCGGCGGTCGCGGTGGACGCCCGCCCAGAAGCGGCGCACGGCGACGTCGGCCAGCCGCAGCGCCGGCAGCACCAGCAGCAGCTGCTGCATCGCCGTCGTCGAGTTGTTGTACGGCCTGGATTGTGGAATGAGATATTGACAAATTATTGAAGTAAAATTTCTTTAAGCACGCTCGACTTGGGGGGTAAGCTGGTGTGTGCGTTACGAAAAAATGTACGAACCTTTGTTGTGCCATGGTAACTGTTGTTATTGTCTGACAAATGGTATATAATATTATGTTCTTTCCTTAAATGATATTCTATAAATATATGAGTGTAATATGCGTTATTTTTAGTATCTCACCTAATCCAATTATTTAAAACATAAATTAAATTTCATAAAGAATACCGATAACCTACAGAAGTTTTACTTCTTGCGCGTGTGCACATTCATACACGCACTCTTTAATTTTTTTATTGCTATAAAACACTTTATTATGTGTAATTTGAAAATATAGACGGATATAATCTATATCCTTACTATCGTTACTATAATATTATAAATGTGAAATTGTTTGTTTATGTGTGTTTTTTTTTCACGTCGATATAGAGTGATAGATAATATTTTTTTGTGGGTGGAAATAGTGTGAGGGCTGGAGAGTGATATAACTTTTTTAACACGGGAAACGCGTTATAATACAACCCATAACAACTCATCATGCCTCTATACAATATATAATATAAAGTCTATCTGTTCCATACTAACCATTAAAACGCACCCAAGAACCAGTCACTAGTATATGTATATAAGCGCAGTGTGTGTGTGTGTGCGTACCTGAGCGCGCTGACGGCGTCGTTGAGCGCCTGCAGTATGGCGTCGCGGAAGCGCTTGAGCGCGCACTGCTCGTCGATGCGCGCCTCCGAGTTGGCGAGCGCCAGCGCCTTCAGCAGGTAGCACTCCTCGCGCTGCGCGCCCGCGCGCTCCAGCCGCCGCGACACACCCGAGATCTGCTCGCACGCGCCCCGCCGGGCAATATTATCATCGATGCTTATTAAGTTATTGAAAGCAGTGGTGGATATGTGAGTTTGTTGTGATACTTTTTCATGTGCGAATCATTTCTAACATGATTACCACCTGCCTTACGGTGAAGGACAACTTCGTGAGGAAACTTGCATGTCTAAGAGAACCTAACAAGTTATCGAAAGACATATGAATCCGCATTTGGCCAGTGTGGTGGATTATGACCTGATCCCCCCCGTATTCAAGGGAAGCCCGTGCCCAGCAGTGGGGCATTAAAAAGAACTGAATACAAAATTTATAAACCTTATCTAAACAATACCAGATGTAAATACAAAATTAGGTGCAACAAGTAGGTACCTGTACGAACAAGTCGTGCGCGCCCACCTCGCGCGCCTGCTGCTCGTCCAGCGCCAGGTCGGCGGCGAAGCGCAGGCGCGGCGCACCTGCCGCCATCGACCGGTACGCCACCATCAGGCTCAGCATCTCCGCCCATGTGCTCTGCAGGAGCCGCATCTGTCCGGTGGGATTCATGAAATTAATGATTTAGGATCACTGTCACCAATTTTGTTTAGGTAATTTTTCTAATTAACTAAATATACATCCAACGATGTAAATTGAACCTTAAACGCAATACTTAAAGTTATTTTAATGAGCGCTCATTCGACGAGGACATTTTTTAACACTGTGGATTTATTTGTATATGTATTATGTATGTATGTATATGTATTTTTTAACTTGTGGATACTTTTTTGATCGATGAGTATATACAATAATTGTAAATGTACTGAATACTAACAATTTTTTAAATAGGTATTTGTTTGAATGAAATATATATATATTACATATAATATTAATTAGGATATTAAAGTCTCTCATTTCTGAACTCCTAAATAAAACTCCAAAAAGATGAACTTTTTCACAGATTTCCGATGGGATGGGAGATTCTCCCGTGACCATAATTACTGTAAGGCATTCGAAACGTCGGGAAACAAGAATTAAAATAAATCCACAAAAAATTCGCGTAAATCTATCAAAGTATTATTTTCTGAACTCCTTATGATATGTTAACTGACCTGATCATTCAATGCCAGATCCGTGAAACCAGGTATCTGCTTGGCCCAGCCGATGATGGCGACCAGCTCCCTGTCGTATATGTCTGCGAGGAGGGACAGCGTGCGCGCCGTGGGGTCCGTCACGCCCGGGGGCGGCACCCCGCACGTGAGCAGCTCCGGCTCGTATGACGTTAACGCTTCTAGCACCTGACGTAAGAATTGTGGAAATATACGTGATATTGTTCTGAAATATACATAGATATACAAAAACTCAAAATACACAAACGTCTTGAAAGTGTCCTCAAAAAGAAGTGCACAATTCAAAATTGAATTGCGCTTTTTTTAAAATCTCTATTGTTCATTGCTTATTGGATGACAAAATTGAAACACACATTGCTTCGTTTTTTTTTATTTTTTTATTCTTTGGTTTGAATTAACGTCACATATCTACGCCACTTTTTAAAGAGATTTTTGTTAGGAAATGTGTATCTACGCTTGCTAAATATTCCTATATTAATTAAATAACATTTACATTATATTTTTCTTAACACCTACAGGCAAATTTCTAAGAAATTAATTAAAATTCTAAGAAATCTATTGTTAACTGACACGCCGTCTTGGCCGCGCTCGTGGAGGGATTAAGCTTTACTTCATATACATAAAAAAAATCTAGGAACTTTTAAGTATTGAGTACAAATCTATAGTAAAAACTTGGTACTGTAACAAAAAGCAATTGATTAAATATAATCGCTGATACCTTTGACATATAAACGAGTTTGGATCATAATAAATTGATGGAATGCTGTTTAATAATTGAGTTGTTAAATATCAATATTATTATTTATTTTATGTTCTGCATTTTAAAGTAACAACAACAAACTGATTATAACATATTTTAAATTTAGTTTTTCTATAACTTCTATAGACTAAAAGGAAATGGACGAATTTCACCTATCTGCCTTATATTGACAAATTAACAAACAGTATGACTTGAACATATGTATTAGTTTTTTTACACGCTTTTATTAGCTTCCCTTTGCAAGTTCAAACTAAAAAGTCGTTTCTTAACTACTTTTAATAGGGAATATGCATTTCGCGCGTTTGTCGTGACGTCACAGTATGATATACACAGAAAAATGACGATTTTGTAGCAAACGAAATCGCTAATCGCTCTTGTGATATACTCTGACGTCATATTCAGTCTGACCAATGGCGTGCGTATCAACTAGTTTGAATTTCCCACCTATATTTGCACTTTTTATATTTATTTTCTAATTAAAAAAGTAATTACATTAAATTTATGATATAGGACTAATTCAAAAGCAATAAAGATAATAAAAAAAATCACCTTTATTTAAATCCCACGCATATTCCCAATTGTTGAAGTGTTTTGAAATAACGAGATGAGAACTCCTGATTATAAAACTATAATAAGTTACAATAAAAAAAATATACCTATACGTGCGTATTAATATCAAGACATTATCGATGATTTGTTATTTAGTTGGCGGAACTACTAAAGAAAACCTTAATTTTGTTTACACGAGTCCCATATATGTAGTTAGTTGAAAGAGGATTGTTTTAGTTTTTTAAGCGACTTAAAAAAGGAAGTTCTCAATTCGACTGTATATTTTTATGTATATCTCCGCCAATTGTAAATCGAATTGTAAAATACTAATAAATAGTTTATATATCTATATGTAAAAACAAATCCCATAAAATCTTAAAAAAATAAAAATTATGGAATATAAATTTAAAGTTTAAGGAAACTTAAAAAAAAGTAAACGATTTTGTTAAACTATAATTATTATAGATTATATATTTATATAGCAATAAATCTAACCGGCCCAAAATAAAGATAGACAAATAAAATTAGCACAAGTTATTTAACCAATCTAAATTGGCCTTGTAACCTATTTCCGGTCTTTATAATATGAGCGCTGTCCCTAACCTAGTACAATCTGCGGCTCACTAAATTAGACCTTGAAAGTAGTACGAATGTAAACTTAATCTAAACATCTATATATAAACCTACATATAATAAAATAGTAGCAATGAGAATTTTGTACATGAAATATTTTGTAGAACTAGTTTTTACCCGACTGCCGAGAAGCCTAAAGGAGGGTTATTGATATTTTTGCCCGTTTGTTTGTATATATGTGTGCATTTCACGCAAAAAGTACTAAGCGGAATTTAGCATAATTTTCTGTAATGGTAACTTATTACTCGGGTCAAATGGATACCTTTTACTATAGGAAATCTTTCGTTCCCCCAGGAAAACATAATAACTGGTTCTATCGAGTCGTCCTTAGAAATGTATGCAGCATGCACGGCGAACGCTAGCTAAACCTTAAGAGATACAACAAAATAATGAACTAGAAAATTGTTGGTCTTAAAAAAGGTTAGGTAAATCGTTAGTACTGAAATAAATAGTGTTTATCATTAAATGCTTATCCTTCAGTTAATGCTTAATTATTTTTATATTTTAGTATATAAGTTCTTTTGACTGATTTCGACCTCATTTATAGTGCACATGTGTACGCGCAGACACAAGTGCACTCTCTGTTCCTGTCACTCTCATACTCTGGTGGGACGACACGAGACACGACCAGTGAGAGTGTCGGCGCAGGACCGACGGCTTTACGTGCTCTCCGAGGCACGGGGGTGAAACACCGCCAACTTCCCAATTCCGGGCTCTTCTGAGGCTTACTATACAGAAAGATTCGATAACTTTAACTTGGCTAGACCCGGGTGTCGAACCCAGAACCTCCGGATGTGCAGCCGTGTATGCTAGCCACTACACCACCGAGGCAGTCTACTACATAATTGCTATAAACTAATAAAATAAGAAATTTTATATTACCAATATAATAATAACATGTTACAGAGATTGAACTATCAGTTTGACGGTCATGTATCGTATTTCCTAGTCTGCTCTAATTGTGTAATGAAGATATTATACGGCTCAGTACTTTCCCTCCATTTTGTCGACATCGATTAATTAAATCATGTAAGCACAGACTGAAACATTATATGTGAAAGTGTGTCGCCGAATTGCTAATTCGTTGCTAGTTCATCAATATAATAAGACAAGAACGTGGCCTATAAAAGAAAAAAGAAGAAAAAAATTAAAAGTATTTTATAACGGAAAATGTTTGTAATAGATAGTAAAAAAAATTGGGAACTGTTCGGAAATATAAACAGTTTTTTTTATATGGACATATTACCCGTACTTCTTAGTTCATCATCAACGTGACATCGTTTGAAATATATTAAAACACGAAGATCTAATCGATTTAATTTAGATATATTCGACGAGTATTTTATACTTTCACTACATTGTGTATCATATTTCTAAATAAAGAAAACAGGCAGAACAAGAAATAAATTGTTATCCATACAATTATTTTTTTTAATATACCTACAGTCAACAGACAACCACTTCTTTGAAAAATCATAAAATCAATACACAATCGATTCACTAAAAAATATCATAGAACATACACACAAACTCATAATATTATCATTAATATTACATATAATCTATACAGATAAGTCTCTGTTTTTAATGTCTTGTAAAAATAACAGCGTTTTATTAAATGCATATATAAATTATATACGGTATAATTAATAATAATAATTTTTGTCTGTTCCTGATAATCTCTGAAACGGTTGGACTGATTTTGAAGGGACTTTCACTGGAAGATAGCTGATGTTATAGGGAGTAACTTAGACTACTTTTATGTTAGAAAAAGAATTAGGGTTTCGCTCAAAGAAATTAAAACGTACCTAGGGACGAAACCGAACGAAGCGAGGGTGAGTCGCTAGTCAATCAATAAAATCGATCACAACAAAATCGATTCGACGAATAAACATCGATACTCACTTTGATGTCATCGAGTTGTGGCCTCGGTGTGTTTGTTGGCTGTTGGTCGGGGGCCCGCCTGTACTTCTGCCGGCCCCCCCTCACGCGGTCCAGGCGCACGCCCTCCCGCAGCATCCCTGTCCTGAGACACTTGCGGAAGCGACACGCTTGGCACGCCTTCCGTCTCCGCTTGTTTATTTCACACTCGTTTGACGCTGGACATGTGTATTCTATGTTCCCCTGCAACGTTGTTTGGTTTGTTTGTTTATAATACTACTACTACTACGTGTACAATTAATAAGTTTAATTATTAAGTATGTAAAATGTTAACTTCGTAGTGATTTAATTATTGTAATATTACTATAACATGAATATTGTCAATTATTATTATAGAATAAGAAGCATTTTTAAAGTCCGAAAGAAAACATAAAATACAACTTAAATGACTAAATTTTGAACAAAAAAAATCTATAAACTTAGTTTTTGATATCTCTGTTATTGCATACCAAAATATATAGCCCATTGAGAGTATTATAAAAAAACATACAAATTCAATTTTGTTACTATTTATTAATTATATAATAAAGTTACCAACCTGTATAGTTCTTTTAAAAAACGCCTTGCACGCTTCACAGCTGGCAACACCGTAATGAAATCCCGAGGCCACATCCCCGCAAACTAAACACAATCTTCTTGGCGTGTCGTCATCCCTCGCACCGCTCGCGGCCGCCGCCGTGGTGGAGGAACAGTGTTGTTGTTCTGGACTTGCGTTACCTACTAAACCCCCGTCTCCGGGAGACACGCAGAACCTAACCTCCTCTTTAGGCTCTAGTTCAAGCTGGAAATGTACAACGAAACAGTTATCAATTAATATAGAGGTATATCATACTATATACTAAAATTATAAATGCAAAAATCAGTGTGTTTGTTGCTTAATAAATTGAAGGAAATGGATATATGTACCTATATATAAGCTAGCTTTATGTCGACGTACCGAACTTTTGACGTACGTGCTTCAATAAAAAGCTTACTTGCTTAACTACATAAGCTACATCACGGTAGTTTTTTTATACAGGTAGTCAGGTAGTTATGTGGATCTTAACCCACCCTCCTTCCCCCCCTCCGGCAGGACTGCCCAAGCAGATCATAACAACCATGGGTTGCTCCAACGTCCACTCTGCCGTCAGAGAAGTACCAGGATCTTGGCATTGTGGACTGAAATTTTTTAGTCAACCTATTTGCAATATATTTATTGACATATTTAATTTAATATAAAACACTTTTCTCGGTGAAGGTCGTTTTATACTGGGATCGTATACTAATATGTATATGTATACATAACTTTAATTAGAATTAAAAAAATTCGTCTCTAGGCCGAAATTGTAAAATATTTTATAAATACCCTGTTACTTGTTGTTGTGAAAACAAAATGAGTTTAAGCGATATGATTTAAATTCCTCCTGCGTGCCTTTGTTAAAGCTATGAGCTTAAAAACTTAATTAATATTTAATACAGATGCCATACTTTTAAATAGCAATACTATTATTGTATATGATGTAACCTTGATTTTAACACGTATAGCTCTGTTAGTTCTTTAGTCGTTGACGTCACATTTGCTAAGAGCCCTATGATAGAGTGTAGAAAGTAGGCTTTAGTGGAAATTTAAAAAATATAGTATAGATAGTCATGTTGTTATATTTTAAGCAATACTTAAGCTCGAATTTAAAGATATAAAAGATTAATTACAAGTAGGTCCTAAACTCAATAAGTTACACTATAAAAAAAGCATTAATAATCTATACATATAATAAGATTTTGAGTTGAATCTGTACGTTAAATATTCTTTGGAAAATCTTATTGCCATTATTATCGATACAGAGGCCGAATCTTTAGTTTTTAGAATTTTTGTCTGTATGTCTGTCTGGGAACGCATCACGGGAAAACCACTAGACATATTTTGATGAAATTTGGTATGATAAAAGTATGATAAATTAAAATATTTTAAAAACCAACTATGCATTAAATCTATCTTCCCGTAGCCCAATATTCATTTACCTAAACTGAAACTACTGCATAATATGATTCATCATGTTTATACCTAGCATTAACACTATCGTATGTATGTTTTTAATAGTAATTATATTTTTTACATTTGACCCAATATAAAGCCACGATAAGTACATATTTAATGAATCTAAGTAATTTACAACATTAGTACTTTAAAAAATACATAATAATTTAAAATATCAAAATTATTTGGTGCTGTCATGCCGTCGTCTTCAACATGATACGTTGAAGCCAGTGGTACAATAGCCACAATGTAAAGGGAGAAAGAATACTTAGAGAAGATTTCGCCCTTATTGACTATCTGCCAACACTCTAGGTCTAAGGGCAGTTCAATTCCGGTGTTACATAGTTCTTTTCCATTGTGTTCTAGTCAGCATCCGCATACTATGTACGAAATAAGGGATTTGGTCGTACGTAAGTGGTAGCTTATATAGCATTGGTATTCTATAGAATGCCTAGGCAAGGGTATAGGTATTTTGAAATACAACATTTACAACTTTATGCACAAATATATAAAGGCCTAATAATTAAAATACTTTGTCTCCTTCTTACTAATACAGATAATAAAGTCATAGACAAATACAAACGCGTTATGAAAGAATTTGAGCTAAGATCCATACAAAAATTTTAACTATATATTTAAAAAAGAGCGTTTTGCTTCAAAATGAAACTCGTGAATTATGAAGTTTATTTTCTGTTATATATAAAAAATATTGCCCCGACTCATCAACGCTTCGATCAAAGCGTCGGACCTAAAGAAAGGATATTTTGATAGCATGTTCCTATATTCCTAGGTAATTAAATGGATTTTTCGAAATGTAAACACTAATAGGCTATCGAAGTTCTTATACATTTTTTTTCTAGCCGTATTTCAGCTTAATTAGTTTAGTTTTAGAAAGTGTTTAATTCATGGGCACAATATATAGGCAATCTATTATGGTGTCCTCTTGACCGATTTTGGCCGCAGGAGATACTTTAGAGCAGCGCGTGTATCCCAGACATAACGTGCACTCTCAATTCCTTTTACTCTTATTGTTCGATGGGATGATACTTCGAAACGACCAGCAATGAGGAACGACGGCATTACGTGTTTTATAAAATACTAGCACTACCCGCGGCTTCACCTGTGTTCAAATTTGCGATCGCTACCACACTTCATATGATCACCCGTTGGGCTAATTTGAAGATTGCCTGAAAATTTCATCAAAATCGCTCCAGCAGTTTTAGAATCCATATGGAACATACATACACACATCTTTTTTATATATACAGATTAACAATACAATATTTAGTTCATACATTGCAAGACTCCAAGAACTGCATCGGGCGATGTTGCTCGGTGGGCGAGTACTGCGGTGGCGGCTCCGCCTCTTGCTTCACCCTACGCAACAACGGTTCCCCGCTTACCGCCGACATCACCTGAACCTGAAAACAAATACAAATATTAAATCAATAATTACTTTTATAATTAAAAAATGTATACTGAATAGGGTCATTCTATTTTTTTATTTGTACTGTAATTCTTAAGGTTACTTACTAAGGTACCTTATATGCATAGGTTATATTTATTAAAAAATAATAATAAAAATCAGTTACATAAAAACACACATCTGAATTGAGTAAGCCGTCTTTTTAAAAGTCTGTCAATAAACAATTTGGCAAATGTTTCGAAGGTGAATTTATGGTATATGAAGATATTCGTACATTTCTTACTTGAACACGTGTAGAAAGAACTCGGGCTATATTCTAAATAAACAAATAGAGTAGGTACTATTCATTTTCGGTACAGTAAAAAATCCTGTAGAATATTAATTTGTTGCGCAAATCAACCGAAAAAAATGATGACGGTTCACTAGTTCAAAGTAATATGTCTTTATTTACACGTTTGTAGTTTGTACATAAAGTTACATTAATCAATAGACTATCGCACTAGCGACTCACACAAGCATCGCTCGGATAGGTCCCTGGGTCGCTTCCCTATACAAACTTTCATCCCTATTTTTACCCCCTAAAAGGATGGTTTCCGGGATAAAAACTTTTCTATGTCCTTCCCAGAGTCTCAAACTATCTTTTTACCAAATTTCGGTAGTTTCGGTACAAACAAACGAACATAAAAATCTTTCCTCTTTATAATATTAGTATAGATAAACTACTTATTTCTTTACAAGTATTTAGTATATACTTTCCGAAAGCAACCGGACGGGGCCCTTTATAGCCTTGTATATAATAAAAAAAATTACAAACTATTATTATCAAATTTCGGTGTTCCTTTCAAAAAAGCACAACAAATCTGTTTAAAAAAATGCCGGTCAAATTTATTTCTAGGCACTATTTGGTAATTTAAATACCTATATAAATAATACAATACATACAATTAATCATACTAAATACTTTTACTTTAAATTTGACATCAATCCGATTTGGCTCGTTGATTAAAAAAAAGTAGGTATTAGAGATATTGTTTAACACAATGCCTTATATTTTCAAGTTTACATATTTTATTTGACGTCTAGAGTAATATAATAAATAAAGTAAACGTTTCCACTTCTAATAATATCGCACTAACCAAATATACACACAAACTAAATCAAGAAGATCGCCGAAATGTGAAAGAATGTGAACAACGAACCGTACAACAAGTAATTAGGTATGTGATGCTACTATATTTGACGACACGTTTGGCTCAGTTTGTAGTGACCCTACTTGCTGTGCCAGCGGTCGCGAGTTCGAGTCCCGCTTGGGGCATTCATTTGTGCGATGAGCACGAATGTTTGTACCCCAGTCATTGGTATTTAATATTTATATTTGTAATATGTATGTATTTAAAGTTATATATGTGTAGTGTATCAACTGTCTGGTATCCATAACACACAAGCCTTGTAGCGTACCATGGAACTAGATGGGGCTGTGGTTAGTAACCAACATATACAATGTTCAAATTTAAACACTTCGCTTTTCTATTAAATTATAACCTTTGAGATGATTGGAAAAGAATAAACACTAAAATTAATCTAAAATACGCGACAATTTGTGCAAATATTAAAAAAAACAGCGATACGAGAGTGGAGATAATACCTACTCGGATAGCGAAAATAAAAATTATCTATTTACGACAATGTTTCAAGGATGCGATGCAAAGTTTAATGCACTATTGACATTGTCGGGTTTCCGATAAAAAATATGACGTGACGCAACCAACATTTTTAAAACACACTACTTATCACGCGAGACCTATATAATTTGATAAGAGTTTCATAACTTGTAATAACGCAATATAAACTCTACGCTCCTCGTACTTTACTTATTCCACCATACTTTACTTATTCCACCATATTGCCTTTTCAAAACTAGGCAATGAAACTCCAGACCGCCGACATAACTATTAACTGCGTTCCGTTTAAGACTTTTAATTGAATTTCATTTAATAAAAGAAATGAGCAATTGAAATAATATTTATAGGAACAATTCTCAAGACAATACAAATATTATAAGGAACTCTTATAAAACACATAATATACCTAAATATCTCAAAATAATTCAAAATATCAATACTAACTTAAAAATAGGCGTCTAATACTATTATATATATATATATATATATATATATATATATATATATATATATGTAACAATTAAGTAGTCTCGTATAAAATAACGGCAGTCCTAGACGAGCCTATCCCAATAGCGAAGCGGTTGACGTCGGCGCGACGCCGCGTTAGCCGAACATTTATCTACGAGCCTCGAAGGTGAGTCCACGGACGTACGGTCGATGAACTACAAAGCTTGTTATTATGAATATCTATTTTGCGCCACAACACGCCGAAATTCTCGTGCTTAGGCGATTTATACCGATTTCAAGGTCCCCCGTTCAACCATTTTTTGCTCCCCTGCCAAATAAAATTGCTGAGCGCTCGGAACGTAATAAAAGTAAAAGTGGTGCAGCTTATAAAATTTCAGTAACGGAAACGGCAATTTAAAAGCTTGTTCTGAAAGCTTTTGTGTCAACATGCATAACATGTAATTATGGAACATTGAGAACTTGTAATATGAATATTAATCGAGTTTTGTACTTTAAACTGTTTGTAATAGAAGCAAAAAATGGTATTAAAGTAAATATTTAATATATAATATAATAAAACTAAATTATGCCAGTTATAAAACTAGCTCTATAAGTTATGAGCAGTAATTCGGTTCTCGCGACTGCTACAAAATCTTGATAAACAAAAAAAAGGACTACCTCAATTCGATACGGGTTGAACATATAATATTTTCGTCGACCAAAGCGCTACTTAATCGTTTTTATGTACACCAACATTTAATCTATAGTACGTTATATTATTTTTGTATACTCATCGCATGAGACGCGTGGGGATCGCCATATGGGAAAATTATTTAAGACCGCTGAATCATATATGTTTGGTTTTTATCCAATAAATCTCTATACATTAATCTATACATACTTTAGTGTTATGTATTTTATTAGTGTTATATATTTTAAAGTAGTTGATACTATTTAGACACAAAGGCCTTTTTTTCTTATATGTAGATTACATTCGTCGCCATTTAATTTAATCGTTTTCGGTTTTATCGCAACTAAACTAAGTCAACCGGAACAACGTCGCTCTTGTCTGACTTAACTTCGCATATTATAATGAATTACATACAAAACACAAAGTGTAACAATTTATATGCTAATCAATAATTATTATTCTGATTTATTTTAAATTATAAAAGAAAACAATGGAATAGTTATCAAACACAATAGAAGTATATTCGTAACAGAAATATTCACCAATTTATTAATAATAATAAATAATCATAGTAATAAATATGTTGGGATATTAACACACAGCGCCATCTAGTTTCATGGTAAGGAACGAGGCCTGTGTTATGGATAGCAGATAGTTGATACACTACACATATATATAACTTTAAACAAATACATATAAATATATTAATCAAGATTATTTAAATTAAAGTTATGTTTGGACACAGATATCAAATTTTTTTTCAAGAAATAATAATAAATAGAATAAAACATGACTTTAACAAGCAGAAAAATAAGCTTTTATACAGTACTAGCATTGCCCGCGGCTCCGCCCGCGTTCAGATAACCGAAAACCAAATTCTTAGGCTTTACATATTAGTATACTCTTACATTGCAGGTAAAAAGTATCCTATATATTGACCCGGATAACCAGCTATCACCATACCAAATTTCATCAAAATCCGTTTAGTGGTTTTTCTGGGATGCGGTAACAGACAGACAGATAAACATAAATTCTAAAAACTATAGATTCTGCCTCTGTATCGATAATAATGTTTATTTCAAAAAGATTCTCCAAAAAATATCTAATGTACAGATTCGGCTTAATTACAATTTTATTATATGTATAGGACACAGTGTACACCTAATAATATTTAAGGCTGACTAAAATCTCTGTATAATATATTTTTCGTTTGAAGTGTGCTCCAATACCAAGGCCAGCACAGCTTATTTTGTATATATATTATATAGCGTTTAATAGCAAATATTTAACGAATATAGATAGCGATAATACTTGGGCGTTTCAAACTCCAAATAAAATTATACATAGAGTCAATGTGAAGAAAAACTTCAGCGCGACGTTCTCAGTTTATGAAAACCGGACCTACCTCAATGCGACGATTATTGGATTCGTGCTGTATTTTTCCATGCGTAATCTTATCATTTTTTTGCTAAACAAAGAAATCATTATGCTGCTATATTAGGTTGTGTGCGAACTCGTTGTCACGCAGTCTAGATGTACGTACGTATTTTATTTTATAGGTTGTTACTCATTTGTACAGTTGTTGTACACATTCTGTCGCTATGCCCGCTCAATATACATTATACCTACATATAATAAAATTGTAACTGATCGCTGTCTGTACCTACATGGAAGATATTTGAGAAAAATTATTATTGGAGCTCTTTATGGATGCAATAGAACCCAAAACAGTGATTTTTTTGGTTTGTCTGTGCGTTTGTCCGCGCTAATCTCAGAAACGGTTTAACCGATTTGGGTGCGGTTTTTACTAATGAGTTGTGGTAAGCTTCACTTAACATTTAGTATTTGTTTTATTTCAATCGGTTCATCAATAAAAAAGTTATGTTAATGTAAAGAATCACCTAGGGACGAACCCGTGCGAAGCGTGGGTGAGTCGCTAGTACTACATACATATGTATGTCTTGGAAACACTTTTCTGATAGTATTGTATTTACTAAAATATTTCTCACAAATATTTTATTTCAATCGACATCATTCTTCTAGATACTGAGAAGCCAGAAATTAAAGCTCGTAATTTTAATATATACTAAACAGACTCGCAAAAAAATCGCCTCGACCAGTTTTTGTACAACTTTTTTATTAAATTTGAATCGACGATGCAATTTTGGGCAACTTGATTTATATTTCACGAAACCTCAATTATCGTAGAGTGCATTTGTTTGGTTCTAACCTTGACTGCGAACTGAGATTCCATTATCCGTTTTTGTTAAGATTTGTCAGGACTAATTATTTCGAGCACCTGCACAAAACCTTATCTCGTAGATCGTTCGTGGCCGAGAGCCCAGATAAAAATTAGACAGTTATATATAATGTGCAATATTTGCGTGTGGTCTGCTGCCCAAGGTCGGCACATTAGCTATTCGCCGCCGGTCGCCGATGACTTCACTGCCACATTTTTATCAAAGCGCAATATCTTGCTTTTAAACAATAGACGATCTTTGTGTAATATAACAACATATTTAAATTAACAAAATTTAGGCCCACGCGACTATTCCCTCCACGACCGCGGACACGCCGGCGTGTCAGTTAACAATAGATTTCTTATAAATTTAATTAATTTTTTACAAATTTACCTAGAGGTGTTATAAATGTGCTAAAATTTTGCTAATAGATAACTATTTTTGTACATTATAACGAGAAAGTTCCAAGGTCTAGCTAGTTTATTTTAAGCTTACTATGAAGATCCTTAAAATAGTTTGGACTGTATTAAAAATACAGTCTCAAAATGAATTCACTAGAGGAAATCTTAACGATTTAATACAATAATAAATGTTATTTCATTAATAAACGATAGGTATGTCATACACCGGCAAATAAAATGGATGTTAATGTACATTAAAATCATGATTGACATTAGGAAAACAAATTACTTACATAACTTATGTCTTAACCAGTAATAAAAATAGTTATTAGTCACCTTCATACATAAATATCATACAAATAAGAGGTTAAAAATCAAACCTTGTTAATTTTTGATATAGTAGGTACCCATTACATGTATAAAAATTAAAAACTATGTCGAAACAGATAGATCTTAAAGTTCACATACATTTTTATACAATACCTATAATTTGTAGATTATTATTCAAAAATTATCTGTTCGTAATACTTCATCAATGTCTAACCGCAGGCGATGCAGATGCATAATTAATGTCAGAAACATCATCCACAATAATTGGACTATGGCTTACAAAACCTTAGAATCAAAACTAAACGCTTATCAACGTTTTTTTATTTAAGAATTCATAAAACTTTCTAAAATGTGCTATTTAAGCATTATCAAAATCCTGTCAGTGTGTTTTAAGCACAGAAAATAAAACATAGTTCAAATTAATTACGATATCCAAAGTTCAAACGCGATTAAAGCGCTCTCTGTGAAAAGAGGCTTGGTTATACATACATAGAGTTATGTATGGGTAGGTCAGGTTCAAGCGTCGCCCAGGCAAATTCGGCTAAGGTAAAAATAAATAGTGGGGAGGGGTGTTCAACGGGTTTAGGAGGGTGGGTGGGGGCGGAGGGTTGCGTCTAGACGTCGGCCTTGACCGCGCCTGTTTCCGCGCGATCGAGGTCGACTCGCCCCACAGACCGAGTGAGGCGGCGCGGTAGCGATGGCGAACTAAAAACGGTAAACGTGCCTACTACGTCATTGTTTAGAACTTGAGAGCAAACACAATGACGAGTAAGAGAATTATAAAAATATCAACGGAAAATGTAGTCACGTTTTAAATTTAACACATGCGTACTTTCTTGTAAAAATGATAGACCTTTTTGCTAAGTAGGTGTATAGTCTGGAGCCTTATTTATCGATATTCCATACTTGTATATCATATTTAAAAATGCCAATGTGTTTGTTCTTCTATTACGCAGTAACGCAGTAATGGAGCCACGGCTCTACTTTTTTGCATAATTGCATAGTATAGTTAAACAGTTAAAAAAATATAGAGACAGCAATAGTTCGTATACCTATATTTGAAAAAAAAAGCTACGTGTAATGACAACTACTTTTAATACAAATTTAAAGTAACTTTATATAATAAAAGTACACATAATATCAATCAACATTATCAAATGAGCATTAAGTAATCATTGAACTTTATATAAACGAAATAATGATAAAAACGGAGAGGCGGGTGATAAAAATTAGCTAGAACAAGGTGGTCGGTGAGGCGCGAGGCGGCGTCGCGTTCGGTCTGTGAACTCTAGCGATTCGACATTGCGTCGACTTTGAGGCCGAGCTAAATAATGCAGATAGCTGGGGGGTTAACGACCGACAGCAAACCAATATCAGCACGCGGACGAACGCTACATTCAAACCACCTGCTGATACGAGCGTGACGCACGTTACATAAACCCCGACCCACCCTAATCGTCAGGAACCTAGACAATTTACATCTCATTGTGTCCGCAACGTCGCATATAGACACAATAGACCGTATAAGAAGTCTAGAAGTTTGCCGACGTTAAGATAGGTTCAGATCTTTTTGTATGCTAAGACCATAATAAAGAGAGATAAAAATACTGATTTCAGTTTCTATAACATATCTGTAGCCATATTTTAGCATTAAA